AAAAATAATATTATACTATAATATAAATTATTTATCAAAAAAATTTACAATACAATTTATATATTTTAAAATATTTATATAAATTTTAAATTTAATTTATATATTTAAATATATTTATTTATATATAATTTATATATTTAAACATTATTTATTTATACTTTAAGTTGCAATTGTAGCACAATTGAATACCGACAATATCGAAAAGTCGTGCATATTGGATGGAGTATGCCTGATTTGTTGAGGTTAACATGTGAAGAATTTTGACATGCATGTATTACTATTTATTAAGGTAAAGTCTTGGGCAGGAATTCTCCACTTTAGTGCAAAAATCAGTTTTAAAATCGTGGTTTTAAGATTGGTTAAAAGGTGATCGATTTTAAAAGTCACGCGATGACAATTTTGTAAATAATGTGAACAATTTTAAGATCAATTAAACTTTAACCGATCTTAAAAATATTTTTAAGATCAGTTATTTTATGACCGATTTTAAAAGTGTTACTTTTAAAATAGGTTATTTAAGAACCGATTTAGTAAACTACATACAAAATCGATTCTTAAATAACTGATTTTAAAAGTACTTTTAAGATCAGTTATTTTATGACCGATTTTAAAAGTGTTACTTTTAAAATAGGTTATTTAAGAACCGATTTAGTAAACTACATACAAAATCGATTCTTAAATAACTGATTTTAAAAGTATAGTCAGAAACTTTTTATATTTCCCTCCATTCTCATTCTCTTTGATCTTTCCCTCCATTCCTTTTTTTACTCTCTCGCGCTCTCATTTTCTAAAATCTCCCATAAGGTATGTTGCTATTTGATTATAGTTGGCCACATTAGGGTTCTTTTCAAGCCAAAGAATGGGCTTTTGATTTTCTGGGATGCAGGAGGGTTCAAGGCACGGGGTTTGTCTTCGTCTTCCGCGCCGCTGTTCTTGACGGTGACAACCACCACTGCTTCAATCGTGGGCAGCAGGAGCACGACCTTGTCACCATTTGTGCCTGCGTTTGGTGCTTATGCGAGTTCATTTTCGTCTTCTCATGTTCTTCTCGTGTCTCTAGTTTCGTTATTAGTTTATTCATGATAAATTTTGAATCTGGAACGATCCTTTTTGTAATGAGAATGACCCGTTCTATAATCAAAACGGCTCATTCTGCAATGAGAACGACTTGTGCTGCAATCAGAACGGCCCGTTCTGGATTGGTTTTAACTCATGCCAAACTATGCCAGAATGTCCTGTTCCAAACTACAATTTTAGGCCTTTTTAACAATCTGGAACGACTCTTCCAGTTTTGGAACGACCCGTTCCAGTTTAAGTTTTACAAAGCCAAGACTTTTAAGATCGGTTATAAAACAACCGATCTTAAAAGTTAACTTTTAAAATTGGTTATTTAACTGATTTTAAAAGTCTAACTTTTAAAATTGGCTCTTTTAAAATCGGTTAGGGAACCGATTTTAAAAGCTTTTTTCCCACTAGTAACTACTTTACTTTATGCAAATTCTTAATGTGTAATTGAACAATTCTTAATGACAGAGACGGATGTATGTTAATGTTGGTGGACAGTTGCCCACTAAAATTTTTTTCATTGTTTTTATTTTTATTTTTTTTAATATATAAAATAATATATTTTTATAAAATATATATTGTTAATTATATTTTAATTACTTTATTATATAAGATAATAAAATATTTATATTTTATTTTATGACAAAATTATCTTAATTTTTTATAAGAAAAAATTCACTTATTTCAAGATTAAGTCTTGATAGACTTATTCTACATAAGTAATGTTGTATATTAAATTTTTAAAAATCTAATTGTTAAATTAAAAATTTTAATGTATAAATCAAATTTACAAATTTTTAGAAAAATTAAAAATCATATGATACTTCGTTAGATAGATTTAAAATAACATATAAAATATATATTTTTTATTATATATCAATTTAAATGAATGAATTGAATATCAAATATATTTTTTTAAATTTATAAATTTGATCTATACATTAAAGACTTTTAATTGAATAGTTGAGTATTTGGTGTAAAACATGAATTATTGAATGAAATAAGTCTATCAAAATTTATTCTTGTAATAAGTAAATCCTTTCTCATTTATTATTATTATTATATATAATATACTATATTTTTTTACTAAAAAATTTATTATTTCTTTACTTATTAAATATGTCATAATTTAGTTTACTAATGTAGTTTATTTTTTAATTTTAATTTTTAATCATTTGATCATGTATATGCATATTATGTGTTGGTAGGAGAAGATTCACTCTAAGAAGAATGAGAGTAATTGTCACACAGTTTTTCTTAATTAAATATATTTAAATAAAGAAATAAAGAAATTTACTCTTATAAAAAAATAGACATTGCACTCATAAAATATTTTTGTTTTAAATGAGTGTAGAAATTTAGAAGACACTAAAAAAAATAAATTAATAATTTTATTATTTTTATCTTATTAATTTTTACCATTTTATTCTTCTAATATTAAATAAGTCACAAAAAAATTATAAAGTAATATTTAAATATAATCTAAGACAAAAAGAGAAAAAGAAAAATTATCATTCTATTTATAAGATAATTATAATTTATAAAAATAAAAAAATTTAAATTTTTTATCATAAAAATATATTTTTCAAAAAATTATTATATTATTTTTACTAAAAGCAATATAAAATATCTTATTGACCCTCTTAATATAAAATATCTTATTGTTTCGGAACGGCCCGTTCTAGTTTCAGAACGGCCCGTTCTAGGATACTAAATTACTCTTGTTTTGGTAGTTTGGAACTTGGAACGGCCCGTTTTGGGCACGCCTGGAAGTAGACGTGTCGGATCGTGACAAGGGTAATAGGGGGCCGAGATATATGCAGTACACGCCGCTCAACACCAGCAGGGCTAAGGTGTTGGAACAGGCCCTAGCCATTGAAGTCACGGTTCTCGACCCTGAAGCAAGATGGTAGCAACAAGGAGCCAACAGGAGAACGCAGCAACTCACCCTTTCGGGATGCCCCGAGATACTACTGGACAACAGACTAATCGCAATGAGGAAGGAATGGAGGAATCCTACGTAGAGCGATCCCAACAACCCAATCCGTCATCGGCCATCGAGCAATTGAAGGCCGAAATGATGGAACTAAGGAGGCTCCGAGAAAAGGACGCTCACGAATTATCAGTTCTAAGGAAGGAAAACGCAGAACTCCGAAGTGACAATCGATCTTGGCACCCATCCCACGATATCCCAAATACTCTGTCAACTAAGGACCAAGGGGAGTCTTCGGGGTGGTACAAAGAAACAAGAGATCTTAGACCCCCACCAGGAGTGACAACTACTACTCTCGACCAGCAACGAAGACAAGGAAGGACGCCGTTCACACCAGATATTGCCGGGGCCCGTTTTCCCGACAATTGGAAAAACTTGACCCTAGAGAAGTATGACGGGACTGCCGACCCGGAGGAACACCTTGATGCATTTGTCACCCAGGGCGGTCTATACACGGATGATGATGCTATCCTCTGCAAAGTCTTTCCCACTTCGCTAAAGGGACCGGCATTCAACTGGTTCACGAGGCTCCCACCCGGATCGGTGGACTCGTTCACGTCCTTATCATCCCGGTTCGTGATACAGTTTACCACGAGCCGTCCTCATCAGCTCACATCAATCGCGTTGGTCAATATACGCCAAGAAAAGAAAGAACCTCTGAGAACTTTTATGGAAAGGTTCGGAAAGATGACGTTATCCATCCGCAACCTGGACCCGGCCGTAGCAATGCATCACCTGACCATGGCGTTACGACCCGGACCCTTTGTCAACAGCTTATGCAAGAAGCCACCCCGAGACCTAGACGACCTGAGGCAGAGAGCCACAAAATACATGCAGATGGAGGAACTGGCCGAGTTTCGGAGTCAAAACCGACCCGACCTATTTCTCGCGAAAAAAGAAAGTGACAAGGAACCGCCCAGATCACGCCCTAGAGACGTGTCGGATCGTGACAAGGGTAATAGGGGGCCGAGATATATGCAGTACACGCCGCTCAACACCAGCAGGGCTAAGGTGTTGGAACAGGCCCTAGCCATTGAAGTCCTGGCCGTCCCCCGAAGAGCCATGACCCCGCCGCGCGCCGATAAAACAAAAGTATGCCAGTTCCACCGGAATAGAGGGCACACTACTGAAGAGTGTTCCGCCCTTCGGGATCGAATTGAAGACCTTATTAAGGCCGGACATCTTCAAAGCTTTGTTCGATCATCAGACAACCGCAGGAACGATAATCGTCCTGGTAGGGGGGAGTACAGAAGGGAGAATCGGGATCGGGCACCTCCGCGGAACCAATCCCGCGAGCGTAGCAGGTCCCAAGACAGGAACAATCAACGAGACCGCAATGAACCTAGACGAGTGATAAACACCATTGCCGGAGGCTTCGCAGGAGGAGGAAGCTCATCCTCAGCCCGGAAGAGACACTTGAGGGCCATCACGTCGGTCAACGCTATAGGACGGGCATCCCCCATTCGTATGCCCCCCATAACATTCACCGACCGAGACTTTCAAGGCATTGACCCAATACAAGACGATCCCATGGTCATCAGTGTAGAGATCAATAATTGTATCGTGAAGAAGACTCTGGTCGATTAGGGTAGGCAACGAAGACAAGGAAGGACGCCGTTCACACCAGATATTGCCGGGGCCCGTTTTCCCGACAATTGGAAAAACTTGACCCTAGAGAAGTATGACGGGACTGCCGACCCGGAGGAACACCTTGATGCATTTGTCACCCAGGGCGGTCTATACACGGATGATGATGCTATCCTCTGCAAAGTCTTTCCCACTTCGCTAAAGGGACCGGCATTCAACTGGTTCACGAGGCTCCCACCCGGATCGATGGACTCGTTCACGTCCTTATCATCCCGGTTCGTGATACAGTTTACCACGAGCCGTCCTCATCAGCTCACATCAATCGCGTTGGTCAATATACGCCAAGAAAAGAAAGAACCTCTGAGAACTTTTATGGAAAGGTTCGGAAAGATGACGTTATCCATCCGCAACCTGGACCCGGCCGTAGCAATGCATCACCTGACCATGGCGTTACGACCCGGACCCTTTGTCAACAGCTTATGCAAGAAGCCACCCCGAGACCTAGACGACCTGAGGCAGAGAGCCACAAAATACATGCAGATGGAGGAACTGGCCGAGTTTCGGAGTCAAAACCGACCCGACCTATTTCTCGCAAAAAAAGAAAGTGACAAGGAACCGCCCAGATCACGCCCTAGAGACGTGTCGGATCGTGACAAGGGTAATAGGGGGCCGAGATATATGCAGTACACGCCGCTCAACACCAGCAGGGCTAAGGTGTTGGAACAGGCCCTAGCCATTGAAGTCCTGGCCGTCCCCCGAAGAGCCATGACCCCGCCGCGCGCCGATAAAACAAAAGTATGCCAGTTCCACCGGAATAGAGGGCACACTACTGAGGAGTGTTCCGCCCTTCGGGATCGAATTGAAGACCTTATTAAGGCCGGACATCTTCAAAGCTTTGTTCGATCATCAGACAACCGCAGGAACGATAATCGTCCTGGTAGGGGGGAGTACAGAAGGGAGAATCGGGATCGGGCACCTCCGCGGAACCAATCCCGCGAGCGTAGCAGGTCCCAAGACAGGAACAATCAACGAGACCGCAATGAACCTAGACGAGTGATAAACACCATTGCCGGAGGCTTCGCAGGAGGAGGAAGCTCATCCTCAGCCCGGAAGAGACACTTGAGGGCCATCACGTCGGTCAACGCTATAGGACGGGCATCCCCCATTCGTATGCCCCCCATAACATTCACCGACCGAGACTTTCAAGGCATTGACCCAATACAAGACGATCCCATGGTCATCAGTGTAGAGATCAATAATTGTATCGTGAAGAAGACTCTGGTCGATTAGGGTAGTTCGGCGGACATCTTGTACTGGAAGACGTTCGAGCAACTGGGCATTCTGGAACAGGAATTGACACCTTACGATGAACCTTTGGTAGGATTTTCGGGTGAACGGGTGGACACTCGGGGAACGATAGACTTGTACACCTACTTCGGGGATGACCAGCGTAGGCAGATCAAGGTGCGCTACGTGGTTGTGCATGCCAACACCTCGTACAATATTCTGTTGGGCCGACCCTCTCTGAACAGACTCCGAGCCATCGTATCCACCCCACATTTGGCTATGAAGTTTCCGTCAGAGGAAGGGGCCGTCATCACCGTGCATGCCGATCAGAAAACAGCACGCGAGTGTTACTTCGCCAGTCTAAAAGTACAGCCAACACTAAAACCAAGACGAGACGTCAATGTTATCGGAGATGTTGGCCAACAGGAACCAAGTGAAGGCCTAGAACTTGACCCGAGAATGGAGGATGAAGATAGGGTCGAACCTATCAAAACAACGGTTCCGTTCCAACTTGGAAAGAATGAAGATCAAGTCACTTTTTTGAGTTCTCAACTATCCGAAACAGAGGCTAAGGGTATTAAGCAAGTCCTACAAGAATATTCGGATTTATTCGGGGTATAATCAAATACCTATGTATCCCCCGAACGAAGCAAAGACCGCGTTCATCACAGATTCGTCCAACTATTGTTACAGGGTAATGCCATTCGGCTTGAAGAATGCTAGGGCGACTTACCAGCACCTCATGGACAAGATCTTCCGTCGGCAGATTGGAGCGTG